CTTTAAAAGTTTTATGTCTTATTTAAAAGCTTAGAGTGTAAGCTGTATCTAACATTCTTTTAGCACATCTAAGTAGTGTTGTTAGAATGTATTAGTGTAGAAAAGGTAGTTTAGTAGGGTCTTAGTAAAAGTAAGCAACTTAGGTGTGTAAGCAACTCGCCTGTGAAGTACGTTAATAATAAAAGTAAGTAATTATTAAGCACATACTTAAGCTATATATGTAAGGATTTTTCTCTTAGCTAGTAGCTGTAGCTAATATAGCTAATTCTTTACACACTAAGTATAATCTAGGCTATATTAGCATAAACTAGCCTAGTATGTTTATAAAGTGTTATCTAAAACTTAAAGTAAAGTTTTAAGTATAAGTATAGTTAGTAGATATTTAGCCTATTATAAAGCCTATCTTATTAAAGTTGTATATGTTATTATTTAAAATGCTATATTTAGCTTTAATATTCTTTATAAGGCTAAACTAGCTTTAAATTACCTTAGAATTTTTATAAAAAGATTTTTTATAGTTATACTTACATTTAAACTTTACTTTAAGCTTTAGATAACACTTTATAAACATACTAGGCTAGTTTATGCTAACATAGCCTAGATTATGCTTAGCGCATAAAGAATTAGCTATATTAGCTATAGCTACTAGCTAAAGAGAAAATCCTTACATATATAGCTTAAGTATGTGCTTAATAATTACTTACTTTTTATTATTACTTAGCTTTTATAAGTTAGCTATAAAATTAGCTTATAAAAGTTATCTAGTATATTAGTTATTTATTATCTTTTAAAAGACTTTATATGTAGCTATAGTATATTACTTTAAGAGTGTTATGTTTTATTTAAAAGCCTAAAGTATAAGCTATATCTAATGTTCTTTTAGCACATCTAAGTAGTGTTATTAGAAATGCATTAGTGTAGGAAGAGTAGTTTAGTAGTCTTAGCAAAAGTAAGCAACTTACCTGTAAAGTATATTAGTAACAATCTTAAAATTAAAATACTACAACAGTTTATAAATAATCTGTAAAAGCAAAGCTTGCTTAGAGTAATTGTCGCAACTGCTAATTAGAGGGTAATAAGAAGCAAGTCTATTAACTATAAGAGGCTTATAGAGAGCTTAGGCGCTAAGTGTCTCAGGCTGCTTGTCTGAAACACAGGCGCGACACCAGGCCTATGTGCGCGACGCTAGGTCCCTGTGCTCTTCTTACGCAACAGTAATAGTTAGCGCATTAAAGTAGGTTGTCTAGGTTAAAGAATAGTGACAGCATAATGCTTAGCAAAGTAGTATTAGATAGGTAATAGACGTATAATAACAACATTTAACTATAGCATGTAACTAATCACTAACACATTAATATAGCTAAAAAAGTAAATAATAGCTAGCTCTAGCTCTTAACGCGTTCCTGCCCTTGCAATAGTCTTCCTTTGTCACGGTTATGTTACAGCTATCTAACCCCTGAGTACCCTAAGGGCTTGGCACGGGGTATATAGGCTCCTCGGCCTCCGTACCTCTGCCTCTGACCCTAAGGTTTACTCTCTCTCGTTACCCCCCTATCCTGCATTCCCTCTCTATGACCTGTGTTTCCTGCTTAATACCTCTGACATCCTCCCCTTTGCATCTTGCGGTCTCTAGCGTTGTGTAATGAGGTAGACGCCCCGCCTGCTAAGTGTAAGGACGGGGCTCCGCACCGCTCCGCCAATACAACCAAAAGGTACGAATAATCAACCAACGTTGATTTTCGGGTGCAGAATAGTATATATACCTGTCGCACGTAAGCGCCATCTCGGCCTTACACTAA